GTGTGGTCTTTGGGCAAGTCATTAACCACACTGTACCTTAGTCTTCTCATCTGTAAAATGGGGTAAGAGTAGTACCTCCCTCCTCCCTCATGGCATTGCTGTAAAGATCAAGCGAATTAACAAGACAATGGATTTAGAACAGAAGCTGATGCATGCTGAGTGCTCAGTAAATACAGCTCTTGAAGAGACCCTGAAGGACTGAGAACCTTCCACTGTGGCCCTCACAGGTCCTTGTCCCCAAGGCTGTCCCTCCCCCACTGCCTGTTGATAAAATCAAAATTGCCAAAGAGTGGTCACTAATCCGCAGGAACAATTCCTCTCTCTTCTGAGAATCATCTTTGACCAACATTTTTAAACTCGCTGAACTCTGGCTTGAGCCTCTTACTAAAGCCCTGTAAACATTCCGCTCTCCCTTCCCGAGGAAGGAGACTCCTCCAGGGTCTTCTCGTGCCCTGTATTTTCGAATAAAGGCTGTGCTAATGGGGCTCTGGCTGGTTTTCTTCCAGCACTGTTATCACCCCTGTATCCCCAGAATCTAGCACACGGTCTGGCCCATAGCACAAAGGATGGTTATAAAAGAGGTGGCTCAGGAGGGGGACAGTAGGAGGAAGTAATCTACCCTGCTCGGAATGAATCAGAGGGCCTCTCAGAAGTGGGGATGCTTGAGTGGAGTCCTGAGGGATGCGTAGGAGTCTGAGAGTGGATTGTTTGGGTGCCAGGACTACCTCAAACCCAGGGACCAACAGGTGCCAAAGTAAATGCGTCAATTGTGGCCCCCTTCCTCATCCCACCCCCAACCCCAGCCTCCTACTCTTGAAGTGAAATAAATACATGTAGTCCCAGCCACAAGCCACATTCCATGGGGCACCTGAAGCCACAGAATATCAGGGCCAGGAGAGCACTTAGAAATCACCCAATCCGACTACCGCATTCGCAGATGAGGCGACTGAAGCATGAGAGCCGCTGGGACCTGCCTGAGGTCCCACAAGTCATTGACTATCACGTTAAGGAGTTCAGCCATTGTCCTGAAAACAATAGAGTGTCACTGGGGGCTTAGGCAGGGGCAAGGCATGGCCAGCTGTGACCCTGAGCAAGACCACTCTGGCAGGCTCAGAGGTGGAAGGACGAGAGAGGTAGGTGGTGGGGCACAGGTGGACCAAGGAGGAGGCTGAGCAGGTATCCAAGCAAGAGGTGACGCTGCCAGGACACAAGAGTGGGGATAGTTCCTCCCACAATCACAATCGTGGAATGCGGTCTGCTTTTTTATTTTGTTTAATTGGTTACCAGGAAGCTTAGAATGGAATTTTGCTTTTGCTTTTTCCATTAATCTAATTGTCTCCTATGCAGCTGTGTATATGCAAAGGGCCAAAAGCTCTGGTGCCAAATGTACCTGAGTTTGAATCCTGGCTCTCCCAACCATCAGCTGCGTTTCTTAACCTCCCTGAGTCTCAGTTTCCAAATCTGCAAAATGGGGAACATAGCCCCTGCCTCAAAGGGTCCTTTTCAGATGCTGAGAGATGATGCTTGGGAAGTGCCTGGCCCAGGGTCTAGAACATAAATATTAGTTTTCTTATCTGTTTTTAATGTGCTTCCTGATCATTTCTGAAGTTATCCAGGATGTCCACCATTAGGAGGACAGTGGTAGGTTATTCATCCTAATCGTGGACTGTTTCCACCATAATTTGCTCAGCAACTGTGAGCACTGGAAGTTGCTTGGAGTGGGAGCTGGGAGGTTGGGGGACAGAGATACCCAGGGATTAGGGAGGGGAAGGAAGGAATACCGCTGAAGAAATTGGAGACCTGAGAGGCCAGAAGGCCCTCCCACCCCCTCCCTTTTCTCTTATCTCCCAATCTGCCCCCGTTGCCTCCTGCTTCCCGCTCTGCACCTGATGGTTCTCCTGGGTGCTAGGCTGCCTAGTTCCCAGCTGGCGCTGCTCCTCTCCCCTGCAATCTGACCCAGGCAGGCCTGCCTCTCCTTCACTCCTTCCCCACTGCCAGCTGCTCACTCCTTGCCATCTCCCAAGACCACACTCTAAGCCACACTGGACATGTCACCATCTGGCTTCTGGCCCATCAGTCCATCTCCACCTGATGTAAGCTGGCCCCTTATTCCTCTCACTGCCAGCTCAGGTCTCTCATCAGACACGGTGGGGACAGCTGGGTTCCCTGGGCATGCCTGCTTAAAGGCCCCCCTCAGCTTTCCAGCCTCCGGCATCTCAGCCTCAGTTTTCCCTGTCGGGAAAATCGGAGTCACAAAAATAAAAGCTCCTGTGTGGAAGGAACCTGAGGGATTATCCAGTCCAGAGATGTCATCAGGTGCCAGCTATGGTCAGTTGGGACCTGCCTACAGAATGTAAAGCTGCACCCAAGCTCCAGAGGAAGGAAGGCCATGATCAATTAGCAATGTCTGCCATGCATGGGGGTGATCGATTAGCAATGTCTGCCATGAGTGCAGCATTATGAATGCCAGACACTGCCATGCACGATCTGGTCCAACTTTTTAGGGTCAAGGACACTGAAAAAAAAAAAATAGAGAGAGAGAGAGAGAGAGAGAGAAAGATAGAGAGAGAGAGAGAGGGAGTATATAAAATCAAGTGCAATATTTTCCCATGAGACCATGTCAGATGGTGCCTGGACACAGAATAAGATAAATCTGATTCCTATTAGTGAAAAGAATATTCCCTTTACAATCCTTTTGCTTTCTTTCAAGGAGGAAGTCTCCATTTAGGGCTGGCGTGTCTTCAACAGCTTCCCAAAACTTACTAATCAATCTCCCCTTTAAGCTGAGAGAGAGAGCAGATTTCCAGCAGGCAAGGAATTGAAACATATTCTTTTATTGTATTTACTTTTTACAGTTACCTTTTATTTATAGTAAATATCAGTTTTTCCATTTACAGAAACAATATAAAGATTTTTCTTTAAATAAAAGTATTTATTTAAACAAAAAAGTGAGCTGATTTAAAGAAAAATATTAAGTAAACAATAGCAAAGATGGTACACACAGATAATTAAAAATATATATAACAAATATATAACAAACAACCAAGGCTTGAGACATGTAACCCTCCCAGGAACTCTTCAAAGTGGAAACTGACTTGCAGGGTGGTTTCGTAGTTTGCTCCAGGACACACAGCAAAGGTCTGGGCACGGAGCTCGGGTCTGAGGCTCAGGCCAGGACTGAGGAGCCTTGTGGCCCAGAATATATGGCATCCTATGGCAGGAGATGGGAATTGAGACCTCCAGGAAATAAGGCTATTCCATGGTAAGGATCCAAGACTCAGACAACCTCAGGAAAGAGGAGTTTATTTCGGACATAAGGGAAACAGGAATCCTGAGCGACCAGCCAGTAGCCCCCTGGGGAGCAGGAGTCTCTGTATCTGGAAGCCGCCACCCTCTGCTAACGTGGCTGGACTCCCTTCTAGCCTTTCAGGGCGACTTCTCCACGTGCTCCTGCTCCCAGGGATGTCCCTCCCTTCCTGAGTTCAAATGCCGAGAGAAATCTGATTGGCCAGCTCAGACCCGGCCTCCCTGATTGGACGGAGTTTCTGCTCTCAGCCACCTCATAGGCTGCTGGTCAGCCTATGGGTGGGCTTGTTTGGGCGCCCAATCAGCTGTGAGCAGGGCCTATAAATGCGGGCACTGTGCTCTCACCAGAGTCGCTGGGATGAGGTCCCTTCCTCCTTGAGACTCTGACTCAAGGAGGAAGGTTGTGACAGATATCACAGGTGTGATCAGTGCCAGGGACACAAGGAAGAGAAGTGGAGGGGTGGTGGGGGGCACTGAGAAGGAAGGGGCCAGCTGTGTGTGAGGGGATGAGCCTCGTTCTGGAGCGGACATGTAGGAACATAGTGGGTGTGGGGCTCCGCCTCTCTGAGTCTTGACCTCAGAAGGATCAAGGCACCAGAGGTGCTCCTGTGAGGTGGGTGGTGCCCCCTGCATGAAGGCAGCTGGGTGCAGGGAGCCCAGGCAAGGTGGTGCCAGATAGTTCATTAACTCATCCAGGGAATAGGATGGGGTGCCAGGTGCACTGTGAATGCTCAGTGAACGGAGCTGCTCTTCTGGAGGGGGTGTGCCAGCCCTTGGGAGCCCAGTGGAGGGCAGAGCACGAGGGGTCCAGGGTGGGCTCCTTGTGACAGCATCAGGACCAGCCACCAGGCGGGGGTTGCTTTCCTGCAGTGTGCCTTATGCATCTGTGCAGCCGTTGTGGAAAGATCCAGCCAGTGTCCACTCTGCTGGGGGATTTGTGTCCGTACTTGGGCCACAGTGTTAGGGATGTGGTGGCCAAGTATTCCGAGGTCACAAGAGAGCCCAAGAGGGAAGTGACAAGGCCGCTTTTTCTGGCCTCTCTGTGACCCTGAGAGCTTGTCCCTCCAGCATGGAATCTTGAAGTCTGAGCGCCTTAAGGGAGGCAGTGTTCCCCTCCAAGGGGAAGCAAAACTGACACTTGAAGGATAAGGGAGCTTGTCACCTAAGGGAGGGAGGAGAGGGCCCCCCAGGCACAGGGAACGGCATGTGCAACGGTGTGGGGGCATGAGGGAGATCTGAGTGGCTCATGGCATGGTTGGGAGGGTTCCAGAAGGGAATGTCCCAACATGATGCTGGAGGGACAAGGGCCAGGCCAAGATGTGGGGCTGAGGGCAGTGGGGAGCCATGGCAGGGTTTAGAACAATGGGCGGCATAGCCATATTTGTGTTTTGGAAAGAGTGCTCTGGCTGCCCTGTGGAGGGTGGGTGGGAGGAGGTGAGACACGGGCGGGAAGCCCAGTGAAGAGGCCTGAGGCGATGACCCCTGGAGAGCCCCGAGAACTCTCCCTGGAGAGTGGCCGCAGGGCTGGAGAGGAAGTTACCAGGGAGTGGGGGAGTCAGTGCGCCCCTCCCCCACGGTTCCTGGCTTGGGCAGTGGGCCCGGAGAGCAGCAACTGAGGTTTGGGAGTGAAGGGTGAGTGCACACTGAGTGCACACACAGGCTGAGTGTGCAGGGCTGGTCTGGGCGGAAGTGTCCAGGGGGCAGCTGGACAAGCCCCAAGGACACAGAGTCCTCAACTTGACCTGGCGCAGCGGTGGGCAGCCACCTGCCTCCCACCCCTGGCCGTCTGTCTACACCGAGTGAGCTGGGTCCTGATTCTGGAGCTCTTGGAGGGACAGGTAGGCATCCACGTTCAGGGTCAGGCGGGAGGCGGGGGCCCTGACCTGGCCTTGCCCGGGAGGGCTGGCCCAGGGGAAGCTGGCCCCCTCCCCAGGGCTGGGGGCAGGGACCTCCTCTCCTGCCTCTCCCAGCGGCTGCTCGGGGGGTGACTGGAAATCCACCAGGTCGGGGTCCTCTGCCTTCAGAGGTGCCGGGGGCTGCGGGGCCCAGTCTGCAGGGGCTCCCTCCTGCAGGGCGGGGGGCGGCCTCTCTTCACTGGCCCTGCTGCGCCCTAAGGCAGTGTTCGGGGGGCTTGGGCCACCCAGGAGACTGGGCGAGAAGAGCAGCAGGTCCTCCCCGGGGGGGAAGGTGCAGTAGGCATCGTCCTCGCCCGGCAGAGGCGGCAGGGCTGGGAGGGGCCCCCCCTCGTCGAGCTCCTCTGCGCAGGGGTCGTAAGTGAAGTAGACCTGGCAGGCCTCGATCTCCAGGGCGTCCGGGAGGTGGAAGAAGAAGTAGCCCTGGTTGGTGAAGCAGCTGGCCAGCGAGTGGCCGCTGGTCTCGGCCGCAGGCGAGGGCGCCTGCTCCTGCTGCAGCAGGAGCAGCTGTGTGGCCTTGGCATCCCTGTCCAGCACCTCCAGCCGGGAGATCTCCGGCGCCGGGCCGCTGGAGCTGAAGGAGGACGAGGGGAAGGGCGAGGAGAGCCACTTCTGCCGGAGAAAGAGCGGGGGAGGGTGAACGGGACGCCTCTCCCCCGCCCTCTCGCCCCCTCCTCCAGACTCTCCGCAGCAACCCCTAACTCCTCCTCCTCCTGCAGCAATCCACTCAGGGCTGCCTCCTCCGGGAAGCCCTCCCTGACTGTACCCCCACACCCATCCGCCCCCCCCGGCTTGGGGAACCCTCTGGGTCAGCCCAGGGGGTGTGCTTGCCTCACAGCCCAGCACAGGCCTTCCTGGCTCACTGAAGGTACCCAGGGGATGCGTTGATTCAGTGACTTTACTGAGCACCTACTGTGAGCCTGGCGCTGCTCTAGGTAACGGGGACACAGCAATGGGGAGACTCCTCAGAGTGTCTGGGGGGCTAGCACGAGTGTGTGAATCAGCCCACCAGTGCCAAAGCCGAGAGGTCCCTGAGCGTACATCGTGCTCACTTTCCAGATGCCCAGAGAGGGACTGTGCCCTGACCCTGATCACATGGCCAGCTGGCAGCAGAGCTGGGACCCAGGCTCCACTCACACTGCCGTGGAAACGTCTCGGGTGGGGAGCTGGTGGTCCCCCATTTGCCTCTCCCTCCCAGTGCCCTGCGGCCCCCACCGCCCACCCCTCCCTCCACAGAGAGGAAAGCGCCCAGCAGAGCACTTCTCAGCTGCTGGAGTCCAGAGAGGCCTGGCAAGGAGCGAGAGACAGGGCTCCAGCTCTGGCCCTGGCACTCACTAGCTGTGCAGCCCCGGGCAGGTCACTGCACCTCTCTGAGCCTCGACTCCCACAACTCAGCTGCCTGTCTCCTGACATCCTCACTGTGGGCCGGCAGGGAGATGTCAAGCTAGACAATGAAGGTGAAACCACCTGGCACCGGGTAAAATGCAGACTATAAAGCAGAGTGTGGGGGACCGTAGACCCCTTGGGATGCTGTGATGGGGGCCTCGGGTGGGTGCCTTTGAGGACCCCAACAGCCCTCTGTCCTGGGAGCCCTCGGCAATGGACTCGGGTCCCCTGAGCACAGGGACCAGGCCTCACGGGCTCCGCCTGTGCTCCAATCCATGTATTTCAGAGGAATTAATGGGCAGCAGGTAAGTGTCCTGCTTTTCCCTCCCCAGAGTGAGTTCCCGGGGCTGAGCCGGCTGTTACACGCACGCACGCACACGCACACACACGCACACATCACTCAAGAAAAGCTACCCCTCCCCCAAAGCAGGAGTTTGTGTTGCAGGAGAAAAGGGCCAAGCGAGGCTGGCAGAGAAGGGAGCAGGCTGGGAAGAGAGGGAAAGGGCGCGGGTCGGGGTTCCGACGCTGGAAGGGGCCGTGGAGGGCAGGGCCAGGCAGCAGCACCGAGCGTGCGGCCAGAAGAAGGAGAGGCCAGCCTGTGGCCAGCACTGCTCTGCTAGGGCCCCGCTGGGCCCCCTCAGAGGTGTGTGTGGTCAGCCACTTCCTGGGCTGGGCCTCCGTCCACAGTGCCCTGAAGTGGGGTGTGAGGGGGTCAAGGAGAAACGGCCCCGTTCACACACGCTCTCACACTCACACGCACACTCCCAGGTCCCCTGGACAGGGCGGGGGGCCTTGTGGCCTTGGGGCCGGGGTCCCGGGGTGGAGAGAGAGAGGAGCAGGCTTCACCCAGATGCAGAGGAGACGTGGGATCCCTCTCGGCCAGCTCCAACCCTCAGCCACATCACGCGTCCCCAGGGCCTCCTCGGGATACCCCTTCCACACACTAGGCCTGGGGCAGGCATCTAGACCCGGGGATGACCTCATGGGAGGATGCAGTGGTTTTCAGCTCTCCGGGCAGGACCCCACTCCCACCTCAAAATGTCCTAGGCCCATAGAATCAGATGGACTTCAAGCTGGGAGAGGTCTGAGGATGTATCTAGTCCAGCCTCCAACCAGTTCCAACGTAGGAATCCCTTCTGACATATAGTCAGCCAAGGCTTCCTTGAATACCTCTGTTGAAGGGGAGCTCACTACCTTTACAGCTGAAGGAGGAATTTTAAGGAGATACATTCCCCCACATACGAGTACTGTAGGTAACATATGCCTAGTCTGGGGAGTTTTCCAGAGAATTCCAGAAGGGGCTGTGAAAAGCCTTAATAGAGACTCCAAAGCCAGCTCATGATGGTTCTGGTCCAGGATGGCTTTCTAGCCCCTCAGCACTCCTCCTGCCTTCCCTCCACCCCCTCCTCAACCCCCCTAGTCTAGGGAGCCTGGAGTGGGGGTGGGGTGGTAGCAGCAGCCCACCACATGCCCCTCCCCCCTTGAAGCTTCCTTCCTGAAGTGGGTGTGGGCGGGGGGAAGGGAGACGACTGCGCTTTAAATGGAGTTCGGGCTGTTACTACAATAGGAGCCTGCACTTTTAAATGAATCTGTGTTTTGTGACTAGAAGTGCCTAGAGGACTCGTTAGCATCTGTGATAAGTTCTGGAGCCTCCCAGAGATTTTTTGCAGAGCAGGTCCGTGTAGGCGGTGGGGTGGGGAGAACTTGTGCCTGCAATCCTGCTCTGTCCACAGCCTGGTGACAGTAATTCTAGCGACGGCCCCTCGAGCACTTACTCATAATAACACTGTTTCCCTCTCTGTTTTACAGGTGAGGAAACTGAGCAGAGAGAGGTTCTATGACTTGCCCAAGGTCACACAGCCAGAAAGTAGTGAAGCCGGGATTAGAAGCCAGACAGTCTGGCTCAGACAGGAGGTGCCACTCGGCCTGAGAACGCTGGCACCAGGGCTGGGACCCCGGAGCCCGCTCACTTCACATTTTGTTTCCTCTCTCGCAGTGCAAAAACTGCTACTTCTGCACCGCCTCTCCACCCATGCGCACCACTGCCCACCCCCCGGCCAGCCCACGTCCCTGCCCACCACTGTCCTCCATCTCCAGACTCCTACCTGGAAATCTCCTCCATGCTCGGAGCTCAGCTGGGAAAAGAACTCGGAGGGGTCTGGGATGTGACACTTCAGAACCTTCTTCAGCCTGGACAGAGGGGAGGGAGGGAGGGCAGGAGGGTAAGAAGGGAAGGGGCCACGGTGTCCTGTGTTAGGCCCACAGCTTTGAGGGCAAGGCACACAGCCACCCCACATAAGTTCATTTATTCAGTCAGTATCGACAGAATGCCCACTAAGGAAGGTCCTATGCTGGGCGCTGGGGACACAGGAATGGCCAACAGAGAAGGTCTCTTCTCTCAAGGAGCTGGCATTCTAATGAGGAGTCAGCCCTGAACCAAGTGTGCAACGTTACTATTCATTCTGCAGAGACAAAGAGCAGGTGCTGTGCAAGAGAAGGATATGGGGGTGGGGGACCACACAAGCTAGAGGTGTCACAGATAAAGATGGCTGGAGCAGAGTGAACCAGGAGGAGGGAGGTAGGAGAGAGGCCAGACTGTGGGCCTCCTAGTCAGGGCTGCCATGGATGGTGGTTCAGGTTGTGCACTGCCCAAGAGCACCTGGTTTAGGGATGGGTGGTGAGTGGGGACTGAATTCCAGCCCATGCTCTGCTTGCCAAGTTGAGAGCCCCAGTATCTGTATGCATCCACCTCAAGATGTATGCCACAGCCTCAGGGCCCCAGAAAGCCTGGCTGCTGCCCACATGTCCAGGCTCAGGTCTGCCCTCTCCCCTGCCCTGTTCTGGTCTCTGGCCACCTGCCGCCCTGCACTTTCAGTTCCTGGAATGCTCCTCCCTCCTTACCACCCAGGGCCTTTGCACAGGCTGTTTTCTCTGCCTGGGATGTGCTCCCCATCCCCCCCACCCCCCTGGTGAGCTCCTCCTTCAGATTTCAACAGAATCATCGCTTTCTCAGGAAGGCTTCCCCTGGCCTCCCCTCGGGTAGGATTCCACTCCCTGTTGGCCTCTTCCCGTATCTCTGGTAGCTCCCTTCACCATCCCAATCACAGGGTGTCGTTATATAATAAGTATCTCATTAAGTTATTATAGATAATAAGTATCGAACAAGTATCTGCCTTCCCCCTCTGGACCATGAGCTCCATGGAGATGGGACTCAGGCTTGCCCTGGTGTTCCCAGCACTGGGCGCCACACTTGGCCCTGCGCTGGGACTCAGGAAAGAAAGGGGTAAACGAATGAATGCCCAGACCTGGAGAGAACCACGAGGCCCAACACACACAGACGGCTGGCCTGTGTACACCACGCACGCACGTGTGCACACACGCTCAAGTCCTGAGAGTAATGTTCTGGGCGGGGCCCCCATGGGGCTCTTCCTCCTGTCTCCCCTCAGGCTGGTTCCGTGGGGTTCCATCTTTGGGGGTGGGCCACAGGGAAAGGCCGGGTGTTAGGCAGGGAGGACTCTTGTAGGGCAGAGGAGCACAGGCGTGTCAGAGTGGGGGCTCAGCCCGGAACCTGGCCCACCGAGGGGTGTGTGTGTCAGACGGGAGCATGAGGGGCGGGGTGGGCGCGCTCTTACCACTGCCCGATGTACCGGCAGTTGACCAGCAGGTAGACCAAGATGATGAAGCCAAAGCCGCCACTGAGGCCCACAGAGATGTGGCCCCACCGAATAACAGGCAAGTTCTCCTTCCCCGGGGCTGCGCAGGGGCGGGAGGAGAAGCAGGGAGAGGGGTTAGAGAAGGGCCCCACTCACCCCGTCGCTCCCGCATCCGCCCACCCCCGGCCTGGTGCTAGGGACGGGCTGACCTCTGACCCTTCACAGGGTCCCCGCTTGCTCAGCAGACCCGCTGTGGGCCAGGCCGACATGGGGCACCACATGCCTTCGTCATCGCAGCCCTGCCTCAGTATCATAGTACCCACTTTACAGATGAGGAAACTGAGGCCGAGAGGTGAAAGCAGCCTGCCCCCAACTCTGGCAGAAACCAGGAGTTTGAGGTTTCAGGGTGGAGGAAGTGTAAAGAGCCTTTTTGGCCTCCCCACTAACTCACAAGGCCATAAGCAAGTCCCATCCCTCACTGAGCCCTGTTTCCATCTGTAAAATGGGCACAGTTATGCCCACCCTGCAGGTCACATCAAGTGAGCTAATGATGGCAGGTGACTGTGAATGGGCTGAGCACTGCACCCCCATCCCTGGGCCTCCCCCACCAGGTACCCCCAGAGCCACGCCCCAGCCACCCCCTCCTGCCGAGCTCCGTCCCCACCCCCGCTGCCCACCAGTACCTGCGGGCCTCGTCCTGAAGGCCAGGGGCTGGCTCCAGGGGCTCCAGAGGCGCCAAGCCTTGGGGTTGTCCAGCTGGGGCCTGACCCGCACCTGAAGCTCATACGAGGTGTCTGGAGCGAGCGTCTCCAGGCAGATCCACTGCTGGTTCTGCTTGAGGGTCAGTAGGGTGGCCTCCTGGGGCGGAGACAGGGCAGTCAGGGCAGAGGGGCCCCCACTGCCCACCTCACCTCCCATGGCAGGGCTGGCGGGGAGGCTGAGCCAAGCGGCGCCTTCCTTTCTCCCCTCCAGCCAAGCCCGCTCCTCTGCCCCCACCCTACGAAAGGCTCCCTGACTACCTAGTTGCTGGGGACACAAACCCCAGGTTCATGCTGAACCCTCCCTCTCTCTCGTCCCCCACATCCAAAGCTGTCTGCCAACCAGCTGGCTCCACCTCTAGGACCTGGTGTCACCGCAGGATCCTATCCTGGACCCAGCCCCTCCGCTCCTCTCCCCTCCAGGTCTGAGCTCCCGCCTCTCAGGCCTGGAGCGTGTCTCCCTGCCCCCGCCGCACTCTGCTACGGTCTGTCCTCCACACGCCAAAAAAGGGGCATTTTTCCACGGACCTCTCCCCCATCTGGATCGCTCTTGTTCCTTTTTCCCAGTTCCCCAGCCACACAAACGGTGTCCTGCCTTTGCACTGACTCTTGGAAAACCGTCCCCAGATCCTTGCAGGGCCAGCTCCTTCTTGACCCTCAGATCTCAGAGCAACCTTCTCTGGTCACCTGCGTCTGAAGCAGCCTGTCCCAGTCCCTCTCAAATGCGTCATCCTGCTTAATTTTCCCGGTAGCACTTAATATCCCGTCATCTCCTGTTTCTGTGTTTGCCGACTGTCTGCCCCACGCCTGCTGTGTGAGTTTCCTGACAGCAGGAAGTCTGTCAGTATCATCCTCCACTGGGTCCCCGGTGAGCAGCACATAGTGGGTACTGAGTAAATGTTTGTTGGGTGACTGAGTGAGCGAATAAAGGACCGGGGAAGTGAATGAATAAGTGACAGACCCCTGTGGACCTTCACCATGCTGGATTTGAAGAGTGTAAACGTGGCCTCCAGGGCCTCTGAAATCTCACAGAGAGGGCAGTTGCCTGCCTCTTGGCTATGGAAATCTTGCCCTGGTGCCAGCCTGGCATCTGCCACCTGCTGGAAGCCCGGGGTTGTCAGGGGGCACGTGGAGCGAGGGGGAGGCAGGAGCAGGCAGTACAGATAAGCGGCTGAGGTGGCCTTGCTGAGAGGAAGGACGGACAGGGTGACCAGGGCAAGTGAGGGCCGTGTACTCACCTCCCAGCTGTGGCCCGGGGACCTTGTCCGGGCCTCAAACTGCAGGTATTTTTCAATGTAGTGGGAAGACTGGGACACGCTCCAGGTCACGTTGCATCTGTGGGTCCCTAGGTGGATGATGTGGAAGGAGTCGGGGGCCATCAGGCGAACTGGAGGCGGGAGAGAGGACAGGAGAGCGAGCTTGGGGGACGCTGGATCCTGATGCCGAGATGAGAAAGCCGAGACGTGCTCCCCCTCCATCTTTGCACCTGCTGTTCCTCCATCCGGGCGTGCCCTTCCCCCAGAGACCCACAGGTAGCCGCTCAAATATCACTATTCCGAGAAGCCTTCCCCAACCGCCACCACTCTGTATCCCCCTCACCTGTTTTCTTTTCCTTCCCAGCACCTATCAGCACCTGACATATTCAATATCTATTTTTGGTTCTTTATTCATTTTCTGTCCCCCCACCAGACTGGGCGCTGGCTGGAGGCAGGGACTTGGTTCTCTGACGTGTCCCTGGTACCTGGCTCGTTACCTGGCATGTCATGGGCACTTGATTGAATATCTGGGGAATGAATGAGTCAAGCAGCCTTTCTTTGCCCTCAGAATCGATCTAAGAGTTTTACATGGATCATCTCATTCATTTAATTTAATTTAATCCCCTTAATCTTACATGATTATAAGATTTTATGATTCTGAAGTTACATTGATCTAAGTTTTTCTAATTCTGAGGCTCTGGAGAACTACACAAATGATAATAAGTGAATGTCTATTGAGCACGTGCAAAGCAGTTTCTGCATCTTGCCTCACAGACTCCTTCCAGCAACCCTGTGCAGCAATCAGGTAACTGATTACCCCCATTTTACAGATGAGCAAACTGAGGCTCAGACATGTTAAGTGATCTGTCAGTCCGATCACACTTGGTTAAGGCAGGGCTGCATTTAGAACCCTGCCTGGATCTGGCCCTCGGCCCCAGCTCTTCCCTAGAGATGGCCCAGAAGGTCTGGGAGGAAGGGGGAAAGGGTTGGGGGTTGGGCCGGACACTCAGTCATTCAACAAACCTTCCCAGAGCACTGCCTGGATCAGGCCTGGTGCTGAGTACTCGGAATGGAGACAGAGGGATGACAGAGGCTCTGCCCTCAGGGAGCTCGCAGCCCAGTGAGGGCAATAGTCCCATAATCAGGCAGCGAGGACCCAGGAAATAAACACCCTGAAAGGAGGTGCAAAAGTCTGGGAGAGTCTGAGAAGGCCTCCTGGAGGAGGTGACTCTTCACTGAGCCTTGAAGGGCAAGTGGGAATTTTCTGGGTGGGAAGAGCCTTCCAGGCAGTGGGACCAGCATGTGCAAGGCTCAGAGGCATGGATGGGCAAGTCGAGTTTGGAGAGCCGGCCTTGGTTGTGGCAGGAACATGGGCCACAGAGGATGCTGGAGAGGGGAGCCAGGGCCAGACCCTGAGTGGTCTTGAATGCCAGAGTGAGGAGCCAGACTTCATCCCGGGGCAGCGGGCATTGAGGGGTCAGATGTGCGTGTGGAGAGAGACTGGGGCAAGGAGGGACCCGGGCGGAAGGCAGGGAGGGAGGTGCCCGCCCTGAGTGCGCACTCACGGTTCTCGAAGGGCTTGAAGTCCTGGGTCAGCGCCATCCTCCACTTCTCCCCCTCGAGGCACAGCACGCTCATGTTGACGGTGTCAGCCGAGGTCAGCTTCTGAGACTGCAGGGGAAGGAGGGCAGGGGTGTCGCTGCCAGCAGCTGGGGCAGGGACAGGGAGGCCGTCGGGGTGAGGACGGGGTCGGGGGGTGGTAAGGAGGGGAGATCCAGCGGGCAGCAAACGTGGAGCCCCTCCACACGCCTCCCCCAAGGTGGGGTCGGCAAACGTTTTCTGTAAAGGGTCAGATGGTAAATGTTTTGGCTTTGCAGGTCATATCGTCTCTGCCACAACTACTCGACTCTGCCGTTGTCTGTGACAGCAGCCGTAGACAGCGTGGAAGAGAATGGGCATGGCTGTGTGCCAATGAAGCTTGATTTACAAACGCAGACAGCAAGCTGGGTTTGGCCCTTGGGCCCTAGTAGTTTGTCCACCCCGATCTACAGTGAAGTGAGCTGCCTTGGGAGGGAGGGAGTTCCCCGCCACCAGAGGTGTGCAAGCAGAATGAGCCCCCAAGAAGGCGCAGGTCTGGATGGTACCTGTGTAATGGCTTTGAGTATGAAAACTTCCCCTCCCCATCTCTCCCCCTCTCCACGCCCTGACTTTTCTGGAAGGAGATGGCCGGGTGTTGAGCCTCTCCTGGGGTAGGCACAGCTCAGGTGCCTTAGCCCTCTCTCTGGCTGGTTCTCACAGCAGTCTATCCCCATCCTGCAGGCGAGAAACCTGAGGCTCAGGTTGGTCAAGGGACTTGCCCAAAGTCACGCATCTGGCCTGCAGGGGAGGCCGGACTCAAACCCAGGCCTCTGCATCCACAGCCCCACAGAGACCACAGCCCTGGCCCGGCCTGCCTGACCGAGGGCTGCGTGCGAGGGCGCAGCTTGTGGCCTCCTCCGCCCCCTGCAGAGGGCAGCCCTGCAGCCCTGCAGGAAGAAGGTCTGGTGCAGGCCCTGTTAGGATCTGTGCTCTGGCCCGGGTGGGGTTTTGGGGTCCAGGACCCCGGGCGCAGTCCCTCTGACCTGCCACAGGGCCCACAGTGAGCAAAGCTTGAACCCGCTCAGCAGAGCTCCTGGAGCTAGGACCATTCCTCCTTCTCTACCCCAAGGACCGTGCCCCGGCCTTCTTCCAGCTGCTCGGGGCCAGATTTTCCCGGATATGATAGTATTGTCATTATTATTGTTACTGTGATTGTTGTGGTTGCAAAGATGCCAATAATACATTCTGTTGAGCACTTACTCTGTGCCAGGCACTCTTCCAGGCACTTTATGTATATTATCTCATTTAACTCTCTCCACACCCTATGAGACAGGCACTCTTACTATTCTCATCCTACAGCTGAGGAGACTGAAGCACAGAGAGGCTTAGGGACTTGCCTAAAGTCACACAGCGAGGAAATGGTGGGGCCAGGATCAGAGCTCTCCGGGACAGACATGCAGTCTGGTTTCGGAGGCCGCTACGTAACCAGCTACACTGTACGGCCCATCTCTACACTCTCCTGCCCCTTGAGAACGTATGTAACCTGATGATGCTTGAAAATGTGGCCTGGGCATCCCTGGTGCCCGCTGCTGCCAAGGACAGTGTGATGGACAGTGACATGGTGGACACAGCCACATGCCCTCCGGGAGGCAGCCTCGCGCAACGGTGGAAGGCCGGGCTGGGGGTCTGACAGACCCGGATTCAATCCCAGCTCTCCCGCTCCCTGGCTGTGTGACCGTGGGCAGGGCCCACTCCTCTCTGAGCCTCAGTTTGCACATTGGTGAGAAGGGGGCAGTGCAGTGCCCACCTGCAGAGTCACAAGGATCCCCTGACAAGAGTGTCAAGTGTGTGCTGTGTTCTGGGCGGTGTTCCAAGTGTTTTCACCCTCAGGACAACCCTACAAGGTTGGGCCGTTATTATTCCCGTTGTACAGAGGGGGAAACTGGGACTCAGATGTTGCCCAACGTCACCCAGTGGGTGGAGACTGTCCAGCCCCAGAATCCACACCACGCTGCACTTGCCAAGACCTAAGGAAGAGTCAGATGGGGGTATTATTATTACCGGGTGCCCTCCCCACTTGAGGAGGAGGACAGAAGTGTCACAGGACCCACAAGGCATGGGGGAGGCAGAGGGAGCAGAGCCCGAAAGGCCGAGCCTCACACACCACAGATCCCTCGTCCCCCGGTCAGGCTGAGTTCCGGCCTCTGGACACTGCCCTCCTTCCTTCTGCCTCCCGGGCCCCAGGCAGCCACTCTGCCATAGCCCCAGCCATTGGGCTTGCTGGGCCCAGCTCCTCCCCGGGGAGGACACCCCTCTACACCCACGGTCTCCCGGCCTCTCCCTTCAGCTTTGGCTACTCACATCTGGGGGTCCGAGGATCAGGTTACAAGCCCAGGTTGCCGGCCTCACTGGGAGCAGCTCACAGGATTTGCTCCATGTCCTTTCAAGGTAAGAGAACCTTCTTAGAAGAAAAAGAGAGACCCCCAGAGCTGGCCCACAGGATGGTCCCCCATGCAGCGAGGCCGGTCGGCGCGGGGACACCACTTCCCCCACGCGCCCCACCTCCCCGCCCCTTTTCCTGCCTCCCTGCCCCAGCCTGGCCCCACGCAGCCAGAGTAATCTTCTAGAAACAAACCAGTTCAGGACCTGCAGCTCTCTCCACTGAAAGCCCTCCAGAGTCTTTCGGTGGGGCCCGATGGGGCCTCCAGAGCCCCGTGGAATCACCACCCACCCGGGACCAGGGACAAACCCCAAAGCCACAATTGCTGCTGCCACCAGGATGCTTGGATCAAGGCGACCCCTTCATTGACTCCCTCCCAGCCCCCAGGCTCCCCACCCATGCCCCACCCCCCTGTCCCCACAGCTGCTCTAGGGGTCTCTCAAAATCCCAGGTTCCTCAAAATGCTTGGGGAGCCCCCCTCTTCCCCTCCTGCCTCTGAAGTCAAGTCCAGCCTCTGCATGGCAGGCATGCAGCCCAGTGTCCCCAAACCACCTTGTTCAGCTTGTCTCCAGCTCCCCACTGCAGCCTGGACCCCCCGCCCCACTCCCACCCTGGTTCCTGGAGTTCAAGTATCTGACTCCCAAATTGTGCCAGACTTGTGTGCTACCAAGAGTCCGTGGGTCCTGCTGGTCCAAGATTCTCAAACCGCAGAGTTCTTGGAGTCTGAGACTCAGGATTCCGAGAGTCTAAAAGTCAGTTATAAGATTCCCCCGTCCCGAGATTCTGCGGTTCTGCACGCTGACCCCACACTCACCGTTTATCCGACTTGGCGTGGATGCTGCAGGACGTGGCCTGCAGGCCATCATCCCGGCTCCAGACGCAGGAGATGTTGGCTTTCGAGTTGTAGAAGCACGAGAGCTTGGAGGCGTCTGCGGGCAAGACGAGGCGTGAGTGGCTGGGTGCGGGGTGCCCACGCCCTCCGGAGCCCGCCCACCACCCCTGCCCCCAGCACCCCACGCCTACCAGGTAGGCAGCCACGGTGGGCAGAGAAGGGTGAGCGGACCCATTTCAGAGAGGACAAAACTGAGCCCCAGAGCCCATGAGGTCCCACAGGCTGGCCGAGGCAGGGCAGGGACAGAAGCCAGTGTCCTCCAGTGGCTTGGAGACTCACATGGGTGCAGTGGGGGAGTATGGAGGGCCAAGGGGGAAGCCTGATCTCTGGTCTCACTGCCCCCGTCTCCCACCTCCCCTGCCTCCTGCCCCTGCCGATGGGCCTTCTGCCAAGAAGCAAGGGTCTGGAAGGGGGTTCTAGAAGGGCGTTGGCCTCCTCCCCGAGGGAAGCACCGCTGTCCAGATGCCAGGGTCCTCACCGTTCACCGCTGTGGACACCCGAGGGATGGCCAGGGGCAGGAGGAGGATGACGAGGGACAGACACCAGGACAGAGCAGGAGCCGCCATCACATCCAGGGGTGGGAGCTGGGGAAGGAAGCCCTGGAGGAAGGCAGAGGGAGAAAGAGCACAGGTGAACACCCACCCCTGTCCCTCTCCTCTTGGGGTATGCCAGTCTGCTGTCCACCATGCCAACGGAGTCCAGCCTCAGGGACTTTGCACCTGTCGTCCCTCTGCCCCACACATGCTCACTCCCTTTCTTCAGAGATTCACAGATCCACACGTCGTTAGAGCTGAAAGGGCTCTCTGAGCGAGCTCAACTCCTTGTTCAAAAGTTGGGGAAATTGAGGCCCAGAAAGAGGGAAGATATGCTTAAGTCCACATAGGGAGGCCAGCACAGAGCCGGGATTAGGGCCCACCTCCCCTCTGCCCTGCTGCCCCCTTAACCACAGCAGGTTTCCATATGCCAGGCTCTGTTTTAAACTCTTTAAATGCAGCACTATGAGCATCTTCTGGATATACTCTTATCATCCCCGTTTTCAGATGAGGAAACTGTGGTACAGAGGGGTGAAGCAAATTACCCAAGGTCACACAGCTGACAAGAGGCAGATGTGGAATCTGAGCCAGGGCAGACTGCCCGGAGCCCAGGCAGGGGCCCCCCCTACTGTAGTTTCTCTGACCGCATCTTCCTTCCCACCACGCCAGTTCACACGATCAATGAACATGTACTGATGGCCCCGTAACAGTACTCATGGTGTGTACGAGCACGCACGCCGTGCCAAGTGCTTCACCTGCACTGGCTCGTCTCATCTGCCCCACAGCTCGGAGGGTGGGGGTGTGGGGTGCTTGTATTATCCCCTTACTCAGATGAGGACACTCAGGCTCCAGGTCATTAACCCACCCAAGGTCACACGCGCAGAAGAGGCAGAGCTGGGATTCCATCCCCAGGCTGCAGCCCAAGGCCTGTTCTCTCGCATCGTCCGCCCTGCCCAGACCCTGTCCCAGGCACTGGCCCCAGAGGTAAGGCCGACGCTGACAGCCTCCCTGCCCTGGGGACTCAGGGCCCAGCATGAGCACAGGCCGACTGGCGGGCGTCTGGCCGAGGCGTGGGAAGGAGCCCGGAGAGGTGCCTGTGGATTTCTCCTTGACCAGCCCACTGTTCCCACAGGACGTGAGCTCCCCGGGGCGGGGCTGGTTCCCTCTTTCTTTGGACCCCCCGATAGCACAGGGCACAAGGTTGGGACCCCAAAGTGTGCAGAGCCCAGCAAAGGGGCTCCCAGCAAGCCCCCTGTGCCCCTTACTCACTCAATCACGGCGCTGGGGCATAGCCCTGTCCATCCCCTGGAGGGTGTTGTCTGGGGCCAGGCCCCAACCAGCAGGGTGACCCCGTACCCAGAACCGGACCTGGCACGGAGCCTTAGGGTGGGAGGAGGAGGGTGGGGGCAAAGGCCTACAAGATCGCAGGAAGGTCGGGGCCAAACCACAGCAGTGCAGAGGTGAGCGGGCAGGAGAAGAAGCATTGTCTAGAATGAGCCCCAGCACCCCTAGCTGAGAGGGCACAGCAGTGGGCACCAAGGGGGCAAAGTGCACAGGGCCGAGAGCGGAGAGGGTGCCGGAGGGGTCGGGCACCCTCCTGCAGAGGAGGAAACTGAGTCTCCGGGAGGTTAAGGTCACAGAGGAAGGAAGAGGCCCAGCCTCAGGGAGGGCAAGCAGGACCCTGAGTCCCAAGCGCCCTCCGTCCTGGGTTCTCACACACACCCACACACCCTGCCCTTCACGACTGTAAATCTGCTCATACTCACTGACTCATCGGGTCCCCAAGACAGCCCTGGGTGGGGGGTATCACCATCCCCATTTGACAGATGCCAGACCGAATCTCAGAGCTGCCCAGGGGGCTGGACTCAAGTCCAGGTCATCTGACTTCAAGTTAGAAGAAGAAGATGATAACGCTGGTGATGCTAATGCTGGTGACGACGACGTTGATGGTAATACTGATGGTGACTAATATCGGCTCTCCCCCTGTGCCCGGCACTGTCATTAGCACTTCTCAGATACCACCTCATTCAACCCTCGCCGCGCCCCTGCGAATAGGTCCCAGTATGACTCCTTTCCTCAGATGAGGATACTGAGGCACATGTCAGCCTCCTGCCCAGGCTAGAGCGGGGCAGAGCTGGGGCTTAAACCCAGTCGGAGGCCCCCAATGGGGCTGACATCGCGGGACGCGGGGGTACATGGGGGCTGGGGAGGATGCAAGGCGGGAGCTCAGTAGCCAGAGACGCATCCCGCCTGACCTCTGAACTTGACGGGCCCCCTCCCCTTGTCCTCTCCGGCCACCCCTCCATACATACACAGGACTTCCTCCTGCTGTTTAACCCCGGGTGCATCGCCCCAGCTGGGCGTGGGATCCCGGCTGTGGGGGAAGGAAGGGGACCCTTGCGCACGGCCCCGTCCCCATTCCCACAGTGGTCCAAACAGAGAGAGTGTGCCCTCCAGGCAGCCCTGGAGATAGAGTCCCATCCCCTCCAGTAGTGACCTGCCTAGTCAGACAGCCAAGTAGGGGACAAATCCAGACTCGAACCCGGGGCTCCCAGAGCCCTCCCAGCACACCCCACTTCATGGCCAGGTCTCCTTCCTCACCCCAGAAGCCTCCTAGGAGCACTTGACACAGGGTGCCTCCCCAGTGGGGCATCCATTCCACAGACACCTCTCCCACGTCCCAGCGCCCTCTCCTGGCACCCAGCGCATCTGAGGCTTAGCTTGCCGTCCCCCCTCCCAGCCCTCCCACCTCTCTAGGTTGGGGGGCTCAGCACAGGGCCGGGGAAACACCTCATCCCAGAGCAGCCCCAGCCTCCCCTGGGGTGGGCTGGGAGGGAGGGGTAGCCTGGGACTGGGGACCAGAAGCCATGAGAGCAGGGCCTGCTTCATCCCCGGGGGTCTAAGAGAAGGCGGGGGGAGGGCTGGTAGATGGAAGTTCAGGCAGAAACTCTGGGAGATCTGAGTCAGAGCTGAAAGTTGTCCCGTGACCTTCACTTCCAGTCCCCCGGCTGGTGGCAGGGGCCTGGAGGGAACCCCTGGGACCCGGGACCTAGCGGGGGCAGGGTGAGGGGCGTCACCTGGCTGAGACATGGGGCCGTGGCGTGCTCTCTCCGGTTCTCTCCGCTGCTGGGACCGCAGCCATCTCCCCAGGGCCCTGCCCCGGCTCTGGCGGGCCCAGGTAGCAGACGGCTGATGGGGCCGGCACAGGCTAAACCCCAGGGCCGGCCCACTTCCTGTGCAGAGGATGGAGGGGGCAAGGCCTGGGGTGGGGAGGCGGGGGAGGTCTGGCTGGTGAGAAAGCCTGAAACTCCTAAAGCACCTAGGGACCAGATAAAGATCTGCCTCCTCCACTTTGGCAGGGGGGGCGGGGGGGAGGTGGCTCTGTAGGTGTTGTGGTGGTGCGTGCACACATACATGCGCCCGCGTACTCTCAAATAGATGCCTTGCTGCACACAGGAGCCCAGGGGGGCTCAACCCCTTCTTTTCCCTCTTCCACCATGCCCACCCCATCTCACACAGGCCCCCTCCAGCCCCTGACACCCTCATCCGGTCACACACCCACTAACGCCCCAGCCTCACAAACATGACCCCCAGGTGTCCCCCAGCGCTTCTCACTCATCCCACCCATCTCGCTGAGACCTCCCTTTTCACCCAGCCTTCCAGGAAGCCCCTCACTCAGTTTAACATTCAGTCATTTTTTCAGGGCTTTGTGAACAATTTGATGGCTACTTATTGAACATTCCAGAACCTTCCTCTTCCTCTCAAGTCATGATTCCTAATCCTTTCTTCCCCCTTTGTGTGTGTGGGGGATCAGCTCAGGGCTCTTTTTCTCATGATGAAATGTTCAGACCCCTCTAGAAAGGTGCAGGTCCATTTACGTGCAGAGTCACAGGTCCAGGGACCCTGGGAGGTGCCCTCCAGCATCTAGAAGCAGCAGCTCCACTGTCTCCCTTTCTCCTGATTCTAGCAGCCCTGGTTCAGGGGGGTTTCTTGTAAGCTGCTGTCTCTTTCGAAAAAGGGAATAGAGCGAGCAGGGGGGGCGTGGGAGGGCGGCTCTGCAGAACCTCCTGTGTGTGCAGAAGTGAGAAAGCGGAATCGAGGACCCTGCAAAGAGAATAAGGCCCCACTCCCTCCTGAGCGGGAAGTGGGAGAGAAGAGCGAGACCAGACTTGAGGCTGCTTGGAAGCCAGTGGCCCTGCCTCCCTGTGCTCCAGTGTCCACACCTGTAGAATGAGGGGTAATGGTTCCTTCTGGATGTGCTGAGAGGAGCAAACAGCAGGAGTGTGCACAGTGTGTCCTGTCATGACCACGCACAGTAGGCTCACAATAAGCCCACCTCCCCTGTGCCCTAGAGCCCAGCTCTCCGCCTGCAGGAGAGGGCCATAAACACAACCACCACAAGAATGAGAACAATAGCCAGGATTTCTTAAGCCTAGAATATTTCTGGAAGCTTCTCAAGAAGCCAGAAGGCTGGATCTCTTGGGGAGGAAAGCCAGGGGAAGAAGGGGTAGGAAGGATGTTTTTCCCGTTTGTACCGCGTGAACGTATTTCCTGCCCCAAATAAATGAATTCAGTTAAAACTTTTAAAAACATATATAAAGAAAAAATACATCCCCAGGCGAAGCTGGAAGTCGTGGACCCGGCTTGTGATGGTTTTGCCCATGGGGTGGCGCTGGCCTGCCCTGTGTGCACCGCCCGGGGCTCTTCCTCCTCCTCCGCCCCTCTTTCCTTCATTCCACAGACATTTGCTGAGCACCCCAGATTCCCACCGGCCGGGCTGGGTGCGGAGGAGCCTGAGGTGACCAACTCTGTGAGCAGCCGCAGGCGGCGGGGCAGGACCAGGGAAGGAGGGGGAGGCGGCTCTTGGTGGGGAGTGGGGTACAGCAAGTGCGGCCTCCACAGCTGAGGCTGCTTGAACAGGGGAGCGAAAGCGGGGAAGGGGGCAGCCCCACACTCACACTAGGCCCCGGGGCTCTGCTTTTGCCAAGGGACTCAGGCCAGGAGACCTCAGGCGGAGAGGCACGGGGTGGGCTACACCGAGCTGGGAGAACTTCAACAACGCACAGTCTTCGCGTCCTCCACCTGAGACCTCACAGCTGCGGAGCGAGAGGACGGGGGCGCGTCCTGGTGTGAGAGAGAGTGCTGGAGTGTGTCCCCATAGCCCATCGTGCCCCTTCCTCCTGGGAACCAGCCAGACTCCATATCCCAGCCTCCCTTGCAGTTGGGCAGGGCCGTGAACTGAGTCTGGCCAATGGGATGTGGGTGGAAGAGATTTATTCTACTTCTAGGCCTAAAAAACCTCACCTTTGATCCTCCTCTGTGTGTCTCTCTCCCTCCTTTCCTCCCCCTCCCCTCCCTTCCCCTCTTCTCCCCTCCCCCTCCCAAGAATCCACTGGAAGGAATGTGAAGCCCTAGGGGCTGGGGGAGCCTCCTGAAGGACCGGCCCCACTCTCCACTCCCCAGACAGCCTACACTGGACGATAACAGGAGCAAGAGAGAAGCCTGCATTGTGTGTGCCTCTGAGGTACAGGGGTTCGTGTCTCAGTAGCTACTGGGCTTCACCCCGACTAATACATAGGGAACCCCACGCTCCTGAGCTGGATATTAAAGCCAGGTGAGGGGGGTGAGAGGGGCCTCTCCTGCAGGAGGCTCGGGGGTGACAGGTGTGCAGAGAAGTGACCCGCTTTCTTTAGCCCCTACCCCAGTCCCAGCAGCAGCGTCTCCCTCGAGCAAGTCCACAGTGGCCCCCTTACTGGCATTCCTGTTTCCACTCCTAACCCCTTCCAGTCTATTTCTCCACTTAGCAGCCAGAACAGTCTCTCCCAAACTCCAATCAGGTCATTTCACTGCACCCCTTCCGCCTCATTAAAACCTTCCGGTAGCTCCCAGTGCCACTCCCACGTGAGCGAGCCCGGCTGTCATCTCTGAACTTCCCTCCAGCTCGGCAAACAGGCAGCCTCCACGCCCCCGGGCTTTGTGCAGGCGGACTCCTGCCTGGACTGCTCCTCCTGCCCTCTACAGAGCTGGCTCCTTCCTTCCCATTTTACAGGCAAGAAAACTGAGGCTCGCGGGTTGTCCAACCAGAATGTGGCAGAGTCAGGATTTGAACCTGGGTCTGGCTGATGGAGAACATCAGCTTCTCTCTGAGGTAACCTAAAGAATCATCCAGAAGCTTCCCTGATGGCAGGGGCCTGACAGAGCCCACTCAGGCCTGCCCAGGCCTTTGTCTCAGGAGTTCTGGGGGTTGGACCCAGCCTCCTTCAGGCCTCCTCCCCTCCAGCGCCCAAACCACCAAGCGCCTCAAACCTTTGTTCCTGAAACTGCCTCTCCTGCGCCCCACACCCCCGCCGTCCCGCCCCACTGAGTCCTCACAGTGTCCCATTGTGAACCAACTTCCCTGCACCCTCAGCTTCCGTGGAACACAGCCCCAGCAGCTCAACCACCACTGAACGTGGCCCCTGCCCCCCTTTCCTAGGAGCCACGGGGCAAGTGCATGTTGGGGTCTTCTGCCTCCCACATCCCTTCCCGACCGTGACTTTTCCACTTGCCCATCACAGGGCTGTCTTTTGGGGGTCAAGCTGCCAGACCCCATGCCCTCCTCAGCTCGGTCACCCACAAACGCTCCCTCCCCTCCCCCCTCCTCCCATCCTCTGCCCTCCATCTCCAGGGAGACTTCAGGTCCTGCTGCAGCCTCCAGACCTGCACCATCTTCTCCCCAGGGATCCTCTGTCTGGCTCCACGTCATGCCCAGGCTGAGGCCCACACTGGGACCTTGTCATCACTCTGACTGTGCCCACCCAGACCCCTCAAACTGCCACCTCACCCCCCTCGCTTCCACCACCCCCTTCCACTCAACGACAGTGTCCCAGGGAGGATTAAGTCCAGCTGCGTGTGTCAAAAGAGACTCGAAGAGGGTACCAGTGGCCTAGAGTAGGAGAAGAGTTTATTTCTCTCTCACACACAAGAGTCCAGAGGCGGTCCAGCCCTGTGGAGGCCCTGTATGATGATATCCAGATCCTGAGCTAAATCTCTCTCACTGCTGGGGCATCTTCAATATCTTTCTCCTACCTCATGGACCAAGAGAGCTGTTCAAGCTCCATCCATCACATTGCATTTCTGAGGCTGGAAAATGAAGGAAGGAGCAAAGAAAGGCATCCTTCTGCCTATTAAAGACCCTTCCCCAAAGCTGCCCTTGACACTTCTAACTTACATCCCATGGGTTATAACTGAGTCCCATGACCAACCTAGCTGCAAGGGAGGCTGGGAAATGTGCCTGGCTATAAATAGAGGGTACACAGACAGGGGAGGACAGGTGTGGAGAGACATTAACTGTCTCTGTGGTGACTCTCCTCTGCCATTGCGAAGCCCTCCAGTATTTTCTGGGCCACCTGGCCCTGCTGGCCGCCATCCCTCCCTTCCTCAGCCTGGATGGCACAGGCGCTGGCTGACGCTCTCACTCTGCTTTGAGCGTTGTGACCTGCCTTCTTGACAGTCAGCAGGTAGCTGAGTCCTTGGCTGCAGAAAGTCCTATCGCCACTGCGCCAGGCTCCACTAGCGACCAGATACGAGTCCTGGTCCCTAGCCTGGGGGACAACGTCCTGCATGATTTTGCATCCAGCCCTCAGCCTGGGCCCCCTCCCCCATCAAGTGGAGAGCACAAGGTAAGAGGGAACGTCAGAGAAGGACCAGGAGGAGAGAGCAGTCTGGTGGCCGATGGCCCTGTGGGCTTTCCTCAGACCCAGCCCCTCTGCCGACATCCACTCTTCCCTGGGACACCCCCCCCACCAGTCCCCAAGCCAGAACGTGGCCATCCTCCGTGGCTCTTCTTCCTCAGCCTGCACTTCCAAGCTATCACCCTCACCACCTCTGTTTTGCCACAGAGTCACCTCCTCTCCAGCTCCCAGGCTCCAGACCCCAATACCCATGTTCCGTGTTCCTCCGTGAGCAGCTGGTTCAATAGCTACTCCAACAGCAGCACCCCGAGCAACTCATATCTCATGCAAACCATGCCGTTCATGTAGAAAGTCATTCTCTGTTCCGGTTCCTTGCCAGGACTGCTCCAGGGCACCAGCTGGCCTGCTCTGCCTGGGCCTGAGGGGGTTTCCAGGACACAAGACTTCAGTGCTAAAATGGAGACAAAGTTGGTCACCTCATTCCACCCCACCCTTCCCAGACTAACTCGGCCCCTTGCTTTAAAACCAGTCCTTCCCGGATCTCCCACCCCAGCCAGGTGGGAGTCACGCACACGCTGGTCACTGCGTCTTGTGTGGTGCCCTCCTG